GTGCATAAAACTTGGGCTTCAATAACCCATGCCTCTGTAGAAATTTAAATAAAGGCGACATGAATGCATTAAAGGTTGATTATATTCAGATAGGAAAAGTGCTCCATGTTCGGCTGCAGTCAAAGGTTCAGAGAGCTTTTACTTGAAATGCCGCCCAAACGCGTATTTCGAGAATCAAAAGGTGCCGAAGAAGAGGAGTACTTGGACAATGTTCAAAGCTTAGAAACGATTGTTGTAAATATGAGCGCTAAATCCTCCAGTTTTTGCTTGATAAAGTTTGTCGAGGAGGTGTGTAAAGAGAATGGAGCGTACTATCCTCCTAGGGGTTTGCAAAGTATCTGCAGGGGATTGCAGCTTCATTTGGAAGACCAACGGAAGCAATGCAATCGGCTTTGTTTCCTTCTCTTCAAGGCATCCCTTCAGTCTGAAAGTCAATATATTCCTTATCATCTCGGAATAATAAAAGCTCCAGAGTCAATTTCACTTCAGTTTCTTATCTCTTCGTTTATTTGCAGTCACAGCAAATCCATCTTTCATAAAGCTTATTGGCTTTCCCGGTTATTTCTTTGATGGCGAAATAAACGACCCCAAGGTCCTCCAGACCGTCAAGGAGAATTTCATTTCTTTGGCAACCAAACCTTATATTCATCCGTCTTTTTGCAAAGATAAACCGGACCAGTGCAGCGTTGATACACTTAAGGTGTACCACGTATAGAGCCGCTAAGGTAAGAAGAATGGAACGCATCTATATGTTACAACATCTTTATGAGAAATTTTGTTGCAGTCTGAATGAGTGGCCTGAGAATGTGAGGTTTTAAGCCAAGTAAAAAAACATTGGCATTTCTTGATTTTGAACAGTTGATAGATTTAAACTAAAAATATATATATATTATACATTTTCGATTCTATGCAAGATAAGTGATTCGGTTTTTGCCAATTATCTAATGACATGCGATAGGAATCGATTCAACCACACTGAACAGTAATTTGCTAAACATTTCAGCTCGAACAGTAAGATTCAGGATGAAATGACGAAAAACTATGCAAAAAGGTTACGAATACGAAGTGAAATTGAAAATCAATTCTTATTTCATTTTTTTTTTCGCAGGTTCACAAGAAACCGGGTAATTTTATGAACATGTCTCCATGTACATGTCAATAAAGATAAACATTATGTTGCTTAAACTTTCTGAGTTTTATTCGCTCATAAGATCTAAATCGTCTGGTCTGAGATAGAAAAGCTTCGTTACAAGAGTGAGTACATCGCAATGGGAGTTTAGTATTACTTTTGATTGGTTAGGGGTGACGCAAGTTTCAGGTACTAATTACGGAGCGAGGTTAAGTAGAACCAATGTCATCGTGGATTACCTTCGACGTTCACTCAAAATAATTCTGTCGTAATTAACTCTTTAACTCCCATGAATGACCAAAAAATAGTTTCTCCTTACAATATTCTTACATTATCAAGCAGACAAGTAATGAGAATAAAGAAAAATATCAGTTAGGGGATTAGTAGTTGATCCAAAACCAAATTCTCGAGCTGACATCATAAGAATTATATGGCAGACAGTTAGGAGAATTGCTAATTAGATGTTGGGAGTAAAAGGGTCAGCCAAAACTTCCTTACACTGGTGATGACTGAATTCTTGAAGGACTAAAATATTGCACCTGTGACTCGCAAAATATAAAAATGACACCTTATAAAAAGTCCTTTGAGGAGAACGCAGTTCTTCAAATGAAGAATGAGAAATTTACATTTAAATGAATCATATCATATGGTTGAGTTAAACACAAGCGGCCAGCTGAGAAAACAAAGTCAAAGCCATGAAATTGATCTGATTCATGGATATCAATCATCAGTGTCACTGGTATTTAGCTAAGACTTTAGAATAAAGATATAGATAAGTAGGGCTGGAAAAATTCAGGGATGAAAGCTGCGATAAAACCTTTTTACATACTTTAGTACAAATTCTGAACATTAAGCATACCTATCAAAATTATCAGAGTGTGTAAAAGGATAAATATTTCTCTCTTAAGATCTACTTGAGTAGTAGATATGAGCCTAGGAATATTCTTTGTGGCATTCGGGTACTTGAGACCACAATTTTTTCCTTACAATTTTATTGCCGGCAAAGCGGCTGAAACAAGTAACTGATATGACGAACTGTTGAAAAAGTTCTATTGATTTTTAAATTAACAGAACTTTTTCATGTTAAAAAACATCAGTCAAAGGTGAGTTTAATCTTCCTTCCTCACCTGAGGTACCGGATTTCAACTTTTGGAAATACGAGATTCGTGCGTTGCACTATTTAAGGAGATTTGTTGCCACGAAAATAGGGAAAATAGCAGACTTTCGTGCTTTTCCAAATGCAAGTTGGTAATCATTCTTTAAGAAATAAAGTTTATTCATCTGACGAGTAAATGTTTGCAATCTTGCACCTGTGACAATTATAAAACAAAAACAACTGAAGAAAGTGACAATTTATTAATCTCTGATAA